TAAACGAGTAAATAATATCACGAAAGCGCTAAGGTTGTGTTGTAGAATCTTTTATTCCTCTATTGTTGATGTTTAATGCCCTGTATGAATTATCGAATCATTATAATCCCATAGTGAATTAACAAAACCGTTCCAATCCCTCACGAAATAACTCACTAACCACTACTCAAAACTTTTTATCCTTAGTCCGCTAGCGTAAAAAAGGTTAGACGATGTATAGAACGTCAATCCTCTATGCCATTATTTGGGGTCTCCTATCTCTATTCAACCTGCGTAAGTAGAACAATTGCCCTATGTTTAACACATAGGCTAAGGGTCAGTGATCTCTATGTGTCTAAAATCAGATTAATAGAGTATCTCAAATAAAAACCATTACGAACAAGAAACTATTGAAAAAGATTATAGATCAATAGGTTCATATGGTCAAATCAACATAGAATTCAACAATCTAGAAATAGGTTCATTATATCACAACCTAACATAGAAGAATTTAGTTTAGTTACTCATAATGCAATTAAAAATACCAAAGTTAATAGAAAAAAATAACATAAAAGTCCCTTGAAGATATGGCCTCTAATGACTTCCAATGCTCTCAAAATCACCACTTGTTCTTTCTAATTCGTGCTTCAATCTTCAAATTTTGTAACCCTTGTCAAACTGCTAAATAAATTAAGACAACAAGGTACAACAACAACAACCAAATCTTATTGCAAAGGTATAAATATGAGTGGAGGACCAATCTACAGGGAGGAAGATTACCCTGGTTTTTGAGCCAAAGATGCATGCTCTTTTCCCTTTTTTCCGCTTTCTTCCTTGATGCTTATTGGTACTTGAGTTGCCTTGATGGCTGGAGCTTATATTAGCATATTTAGTTGTTGTTGTTTTTCGATGTGAAGAGCAACAACTTTAGGGTAGAAATTTTGTAGATTGTGGAAGATGAAAGTGTAAAAACTTGAGCTATTTATAGATGAATATTAGGGTTTGAAATTTAATTGTGGTTCATCTATTTTGGTATGATTCTATGTGATTTGATTTGATTTATTTCTCCGTGGCCAAGTCAATGAATCTGGATGGATTTATGGCTTTTGTGAATGAATTGAATAAATATTAATTTTGATATATAATAATAATAATAGTAGTAGTAAATAATATAAAAAAAAGGTAATAATAAAAAAACTTTGATTTTTCTTGACTTTTAGACTAAAATACATGAAAAATCAATATTATAATAATTTTAAAAAAATTAATAAATAATAAATAAAAAGGTGCAATTTTTAATAATAAAATAATGTAAATGAAGGTAAAAAAAAACATAAAAAAGAGAAAAATAAATCTAAAAGTGGGGAAAATGAGATTCAAACTCAAGACCTTCCTCCCCCTTACAACTTTATACATATGCTCTTCTACCAATTGTGTCATTGTCACTAAAAAGAATATGAAAGATTGGCAAAAGTAGGGGTACGATAAAATATAAGGCTCCCTTAAAAGATCTTTCACTACAAGAAAACATGATATTAGCTAGGGGCATGGGATAGGGGGAAAACCCCTCACTAAAACAAATCAGTTTGCTTGGGGTTAAACCCCTCGTAAAACACAAAACAGAGAGAAAAAAAACAGTTAGCTAGGGGATACCCCTCGCAAACAAGGAGGGAAAGTTTTTTGAAATTTGAAATATGCTTTTACTAGGGGTCAACGCAGAATTTGGTGGAAATCATGGACATTTGCAAAGGGGCATCCCCTCACCACGTCATGCTTCACAATTTGCGAGGGACCTCCCCTCATCATTTATCATGCTTTAGTCAAATCCACCTGCAAAAGCATTTATTCCGCTGCCACATTACCTGCAACACGTCAACACTGGCTAGGGATATCCCCTCGCAAATGAAAGATTCCCTGCCTGCGTGGAGTATCTCCTCGCAAGTGCTGACACGTCATTGTGACCGTTGGGGGTGGCGTGGGGCAGCCCCTCGCAAATGACAGTAATAAATTCTAACGAATTCCAATAATATCGGCCATTATTTCTCCTTTCTTCTTCTCTTTCTTCCTCCATTTTTTCCTTCTCCTTTCTTCCTCCATTCTTCTTCTTCTCCTTTCATCTTCCACCATTTTTTCTCTCACTCCATAAAATACAATGTAAGTATTTTTTATATGTTATATTATTTTTGTATTTGTAATTTATTTTATTGTTTAGATTTATTAATTAATTATTTTTATTTATTTGTTGTGTTGCATGTACTATTGGTAATATATAAAGCTCTCAAATTTTTCCTAAAAGGAGCTACAAATTTAGGGGAGCATCAAAACATACATATTTCTTTTTTCCTTAAGACTTTAGATATATTTTTATTTCGAAATTTATGTTGATGTTGGTATAAGAAAATGTATTGTTGATGTTGGTATAAGAAAATATATGTTATTTTTTATTTCGAAATTTATGTATATATTTTTAGTATATTATTTTTGAAAATATTATTTTCATTTTTAAAGTTTTTCAGATTTATATTATAATAGTTTTAAAATAATTGTTAAAAAAAATTGTAAAAATATATTTTGTTTATATTATTTAGTATATAAATTTATATATATATTATTTATATTGTTTATATTATTTAATATATATTATTAAATAAAAAGATTAGAAAAACATATTATACTATAAAAATGATTATATTATATTTAATTTATATTATAAAACAGATTTTAAAAACAGATTTTAAAAACAGATTTTAAAAATAGATTTATAATACAAATTATAAAACAGATTTATTAAAATATTTATAAAACAGATTCAAAATAATTATATTATATTTATATTTTATTAGGAAACAGATTTTAAAAATAAATTTATAATAATTTATAACACAGATTTATTAAAATATTTATAAAACAGATTTTAAAAAATAGATATTTATATTTTATTAGGAAACAGATTTTAAAAATAAATTTATAATAATTTATAACACAGATTTATTAAAATATTTATAAAACAGATTTTAAAAAATAGATTATATATTAAAAATATTATAAAACAATATTGTATATATAAAAATAGTATCTATATTTAAATTATTTATAAAACAGTATATTTATTAAAATATTTATAAAACAGAATATCTATTTAATTAGACTTTTAAAAACAGAATATTTATTTAATTAAATTTAAAAACATATTATATATTATTTTTAAAAACAGAATATTTATTTAATTAAATTTGAAAACATTATATATTATTTTCAAAAACAGAATATTTATTTAATTAAATTTGAAAACATATTATATATTATTTTTAAAAAAGAATAGATTATATATATTAATATACACTTTTATATTTAAAAAGTATGAGTTAAATCAGAAAAATATATAATTTATAATATATTTAAGTAAGATATGCAAACCTTTTATATGAAGTATATAATTTGTTATATATACATTTTTTATTTAGAAAGTATTAATTTTTATTTAAAAGCTATTTAGTTTTTAAAATATTAATATAATTTAGTAATATATTTATAAAAAAGATAATATTGTTCTAAAAAGTATGTAAATTTATAAAAATATGTTATAATTTGTAAAATTGTAAAATATTTTATACTTTAATAACAGATTATATAATATTTGTAGAAACATATAAATCTATAATTTGTAAGTTAAAATGTTATAAAGCATAAATTTATTGAAACATAATATATAACATTTTTTATGTATAAAGTATGTTATATAAATTATAAATTATAAAAATAATAATATTTTTTATTATATAATTATATTATTATTTTAATTATAATAATATAATTAAAATAATAAAATTATAAATTATAAAAAAAAAATTATAATTATTGATTAGGGGTTAAACCACTCACAAATTCCAAAACGTAGGACAACTGGCTAGGGGCTTAATCCCTCGCAAAATCCTGACACAGACAGTTAGGGATTTTATCCCTCACTAAATTCAGAAACTACGTAACTTAGCTAGGGGATTATCCCCTCGCAAAAGTATCTGACACGTCTGAGCCCCTTGTGGCTCTAATCCGTGTCTATGTCTGTAATGCAACATGATGATTTTTTTGCGAGCAGCTTATCCCCCCAGCCAATTTTGCGAGGGACTTATCCCCTAACCAATAATTTGCGATGCCTTGATTAGCTAGATGTCATGTCTGCTCGCAAATTGGTATTTTGTGATGTGAGGAGTTTAACCCCTCGCTATATACAGTTTTTCTTATAGTGTTTTGATTATCAATTTAATTGGTCTCAATTGTAGCTAAAAAAAAATACTAAAACTAGTGTAGACAATCATTTGAAATTTTCATATTTTCATTATTCTATTTTCTAGAATCCTCGACTAGTCAACACAAGTTCTAGATAAGTTCCAATTTATTTGAACTGTCTATGCATCAGCACGCAAACTGTTTATAATTGTCAGCTGTATGGAGATAGATTTTAGTATATACAATTGTGGCAAGATTATCGCTTTTCTTATTTAGTAATTTTCAACTTCTGAAACTACAAGGCAACACGTTATTTTTTTTCTTTTTTCAAGATCTGCTGCTGTTTTTCATTTGACTACTAGAAGACATGTGAAGGAAGGTGTATACAAAACACTAATTTCCAGATGTGAAAGTGTTATAGCAACTAATCTGAACACAGAGAAAAGCATGTATTTGCAACTTATTTGATCAACTATTCCTTATCTCGTTGGTGCAACACTTAAACCGTTGTCTGTGTTGAATGGAGACCGAAATACCCTCTCCCATACGACATGCACTATTCTACACAAACAAATGTGCTAGAAAATGTACAAGAATAGTATAAAATATAGTGGATGTCTTGCGGAAAGTCGTACTTGTACAACAAGTAGCTTAGTGTTTAAGGTTCGTTCACTCGGTTTCTCAATAATGCAAAACACCTATTTGGATACCACGTTTTCCTTTTTGACTTTACCTCTCTATAAATACAAGTTATTAAGTGTTCTTCATTGAACAGACCATATAAATTTAACATTATGATGAAGAGACAGAGAGAAAACGAAGTAGAAAAAGAGAGCATGGATTTAGCAACAACGCTAATGCTACTCTCTTCTCATCGTACTCATCAACAACAAAGCAACAAAACGTATTCTCCAATGGAGTTTGAGTGCAAAACATGCAACCGCAAATTCTCATCTTTTCAAGCGCTCGGTGGTCACAGGGCAAGTCACAAGAAACTCAAACTTGAAGGAGATGAAACACTCAAAGGAAATAATCAACCAAAAATGCACAAGTGTTCAATCTGTGGACAAGAATTCAAATTGGGTCAAGCTTTGGGTGGACATATGAGAAGACATAGAATTAATAATGAAGGGTTTTCTTCATCTTCAATGAATTATCATCGAGTGATAGCAAAATCTTCTCCTGTTTTGAAAAGATCGAATAGCAAAAGGGTTATGTGTTTAGAATTGGACTTGAATTTGACACCTTTAGAAAATGATTTGAAGTTCTTGTTTGGAAATAAAGCACCACAAGTAGATCTCTCTTTATTTTGATTTTAGTATTTCACCAAATTTTTGGACATATCATTTCATAATAATCTTTGTATTCTTTCAATTTTTGTAAGTAACCACATTTATAAATTAATTTATTGAGTATTTGTCTTCTATGTTTTATCCCAATTAAAATTTTTTGCTATATAAATATAGAATACTACTAATTGATTGCATATAAGGGGGCAAAATCGGTTAGATCCGTCTGTTTAACACATCATTTTTGACAGGGTGGGACGAGATTTTCAGCTCGATGTCTTAAGTTGACATGTCCCGTCTAACCTACTTTTAAAACGGACCGAAGGCGGGGCGGGACAGGTTTTGCCACGGTCTTTTTGTTAAAAAATTTATTTTTTTACTTGAAATTAAAATAATATTAACGTGGTCTGCAGTAGATATACTTTCAAAACAACCTTCATTTCTTCAAATCCTAATGTTCATTTTTCACATAACCATAAACATCTCATTTTGAAGACATTAATTAGTCTCTGCTTCTTTATTTATTTTCACTCATGGTAGGAAAATTCTTTATTGCAAAACACAGAGAATACATTATTTTCTATTTTCTATTACTCGTTGTCATTGGAGCCGGGTTCTAAATTTATAAGGTAAATTTTGCACAAAGGAGTTTGTTTCTCATTATGATAATAAAGTTTTGATTTGTATTTTAATCCATTTAAGTTCTCATTTTATTTATTTATTTTGACACAAATGCTCAACTAAGTGCATAATGTAACACCCTTCTAAATCCCGCGGAGTATATATAAATAATCAGAGTAAAGTATCATGCATCTCAAATAAAGGTGTCACATATAATTCAAAACATCACACATATACTTGTCATGCTCAATAACACTTAAAATAAATTCATGTTTTTCATACCCTTTCACATAGCATGTAGCATCAAAATTACTTCAATCATAAATTAACATAATGAAAACTCAATGATCAACTCATCATAATCATCACTTAGGCATAAAACCTAATACTTCATATAATTCAAAATAACAATAACAGAATGAAATAGAGCACATAAAGTATCTCTCAAAATATGAATCGAAACGTTCCCAGTGTTACATGATCAGAGCACGAATCAACCCAAAATAAATAGATAAACTAAAACAAGCTACTCCAACGACTACCTCGTGTTAGAAGCAACTCTACTCCTCAGTACCTGAGCAATGTCGTATAAAAAATCATTCCAACAGAAGGGTGAGAATTCACATAATTATCGAAATCATAAGATAATATATAATTTATGGCATACAAACACAATCTAATTATTCTCACACTTCAAAAGCTTCATCAACATATTATCACTCAAGTGATCATACTATTCACAAGTACATACTCACAATTTCATAATTCATCAATTCATCAATTCACATATTTCGCATAATCTCATACTGCAAACATATACATGATGTGACTCAATGCAAGACTCCAATGCAAATTATGCATGTGGTACCAACACTTGTTATTATTTTTTGGTTTTTACATTTAAACCGGGTTCGTTCTCTAGATCAATAACACACAAAAATCTCATTCTCTAATCTTTCAAACCCCGATCTAGGTTTGAGACAAGTCACTAGCTCCAACAGAACTAACAAGCATTGCCTCCTGACACAAATGATGCATGTGCAAGTTCACAACCATATGCAATTAAGACAATTCCCTAATCTTAACATTCATGCATATCTTCAATAATTCATCACACTTGAATTACCATACAATTAAACATACTTGCACATTTTTATGAATCTTTCACACACTATTCACTTTTAAATGGTATACAACACGTTTTAGAATGCAACACAACAATCCATTACTATAACATATACACAATTGACATCCCAAACATATTAGATACAAAAATATTAAGCAAACAATTATATTATCTACACTATATTATAGATCTATTCATGAGCTTCCCAACGCTTCAAACAGGGACCAAAACAGACTTACGGATCAAAATTTATGGCCAAAATCGTTGAAACAAAATTTTTACCAATGCACAGCCTTGCATCAACCGCTAGCGACGGATTAGTCGACACATCAAAGGAAAAAACAAATCTAGAAAAACGCATTCAGTATGTGTCAAACGTTGCGACGTATGCGTCGACGCAAATAGTGCAGAATGCATAATTTTCTGCGTTTTCCACCGTTGGAGGCCTTCCGGACCTCCGATTTCAATTCTGTAAAAAGCTCCAGTTCCAGAATTCGAAATACTATCATTATATAACAATTATAACATCCCACAAGACATATTTAAGGATCTTATCATCATATATCATATAATCATTAATTTCAAAACCATGGAAATTAGGGATTTTTATCCTAAATATGATACTACCCATCATACATTATCATACAATCCCAATAATCATATAAAAATCCACCCTTACCTTGCTTTTTGGATGATTCTTGAGCCTTATCTCTTGGTTTTTCTTCTCCTCTCCCCTTCCTTCTCTCTAGCCTATTTCTTTCTCTTTTCTAACTTTTTCTCTTTTCCTATTCTTTTGTTAAACCCTAACATTGTCTTAATCAATTGGGCTTAACTCAACCCACTCTCACTTATTATTCACACACCTAATTAAGTCCAACTAAATAATCTAACAATTCTACATTATTATACTAAATAGAATAAATCAATTAATTTACTTAATTCAATAAATCGCATATTTAAATTAAATCAATTAAATCAATTAACTCATATCAATTAAATAAGTCAATTAATTTATATAAACCCATATGTTCATATAAATCAAACAATTCATACAAATTCAATAAATCAAATAATTCAAATAAATCGAATAAATTAGTTAATTCAATTAGACACAAAATCACATAATTAAGAAATTAATTTAATTAAATAAATAATTACTAAAAATTGGGGTGTTACAACCCTCCCCCACTTAAAAGATTTTCGCTCTCGGAAATTACCTCAAACGAATAACTCGGCCCTCGGGATAAGACTCCCTCATCTGACTCTCAAGCTCCCAAGTCACGTTTCAACCAGCTGGTCCTCCCCAAGCGACCTTCACCAAAGCAATCTCTTTACCACGAAGTTGCTTCAACTCTTGATCCTCTATCCGCATAGGTGATGTCTCCACAATCAAGTTATCTCTTACCTGCACATCATCTACTTGGACTACATGAGACAGATCCGCAATGTATTTCCTCAACTGAGATACATGAAACACGTCATGGAGATTAGCAAGCGACGGAGGAAAAGCAACACGATAGGTTACCTCTTCTATCCTCTGCAAAATGATCAGGACCAATAAAACGTGGCGTCAACTTACACGAATTCAATGCTCTACCAATACCAGTTATCAGAGTAACTCAAAGAAACATATGATTACCCTCTTGAAACTCAAGTGCTTTCCTCTTCTTGTCATGATAACTCTTTTGACGACTCTGAGAAATCTTCATCTTTTCTTGAATCATCTTAATCTTATCAGTAGTCTGCTGGACTATCTCAGGTCCAACCACGACACCCTCTTCCGACTCATACCAACACAATGGCGTCCTACACCTCCTACCATACAATGTCTCAAACGGTGCCATTTCGATACTCGAATGAAAACTGTTTTTGTAAGTAAACTCAATCAAAGGTAAGTAGCTATCCCAAGCTCATCCCTTTTCTAACACACAAGCTCTCAAAAGATCCTCAAGTGACTGAATCGTCCTCTCAGTCTGATCATCTGTCTGTAGATGATAAGCAGAACTAAAACGTAACTTTGTACCCAAATCACTTTGCAAACTTTCCCAAAATATCGAAGTAAACCTCATATCTCTATCTGACACAATGCTAGATGGAATACCATGCAAACTGACAATCCTCTCAAAGGACAGGATCCCCTTTATTGACTGCCATGTCATATTTAGGATAGTTTTGTCCATCATTCCCTTTGAAACCTCTTTAGCTCCTTCCCTTTTATCCTAGCCTTAGGATTAGAGTCACCGTACTCTATGTGAGCATCTTGCCATGGCCACTTCCTTTCCTTTTTATCCTAGCCTTAGGATTAAGTCGTCGTATGTAACAGCCCAATTTTTAATAATTAATTATTTATGTTAATTAATTGATTTATATGATTTCTTTAATTTAAATGAATGGGTAGATATTTTGAGAGAAGAAAATATGATGGAGAGGAATAGAATAGAAAGAGATATAAGAGAAAGAGGAGAGAAAAGAAAGGATAGAGAGAAAAGAAGGAAAGGAGAGAAAGAAAGAGGAAGAAGAGAAAAGAGAGGAAAGCTTAGATTCATCAAGATCAACCCTTAGGAGTCAATTTAATCGGGTAAGAGTGTGAAATCTTATTATCTTATCAATATATATGATTATGTATGACTTGTTTGGATTATTTGGGTGTTTTTCTACATTTCCATTCTAGGGCAGAAATGGATTTAATCGATAGAAATCGATGTTTGAACGGTTATAAGTTGGATTAAATGGCGTAGTTTAGTCGAGGATTGTTGGGCTAAGTCTACTAGAACTTGTAGGTTTTGAATCAGACGATTTTATGAGTTTTTGATGATTTTGGAAATTGAGGGTTTTGAACAACGCAGACGTTTGCTAGCACCTTTGCTAGGCGAGCAGGGTGGTGAGTTATTCACCAAGCGAGCCAGCAGCGAGCTAGTAGCGAGCGGTCCCATACTTGGGCAGAACCAAATGATCCAATCTCGCTGGTAGCGAGTGAGGTAGCGAAGGGATCGCTAGGACCTCGCTAAGCGAGCAGGTAGCGAGCACTTCCAGTAGCTCCCAGACTCCTTTCGCGAGTTTGTTCGCTAGGCGAACCCGTAACGAGTGTTCGCCAAGGACTCGCTAGGCGAGTGGTGTAGCGAACGTGACAACATTCTTATTTCTTGTTGCGTTTCCATCCAACGTTGATTGTTCAGCTCGAGTATGATCAGTCTTTCTGATTGGCATAGTTGTATGTTGTGATATGTTATGATGTGGGTAGCCGTATGGCGTGTATCCTAGATTATAGAATCGATTG